ACACATTTCTAGTTTGATTTGATTTGAATAGTAAAGATTTTAGGCCATGGTACTAGTATGCTATATTTCCAATTACAGAAATAGATAAAATTCATCATCATCATGTGTTGCAAAACCAGGGACATCAAAGATGACCTCGACTTCAATGCAAATGCAGGGGAGAGTAATTACACTATTTTTGTCGGAAGTGTCTGGGAAGGAGTTAAGTGATCACAGGTTATAATTTACCCAATACCTTTCAAAATTATTATAAATATATAGGGGTTATAATTTTATGAATCATTTGGTTTGAAGAATCTTTGAGAATATCATTGGTTTGTATTACAGAAATGTATATCGCATCTGAAGCTGTCAAGTATTTTGCACAAGTAAAGCAATTATGATCATGAAATTCTGAAGGTTGAACTTATATGGCTAAACATTTCAACACATTTACTTTAATATCCTGAATTATATAAAAACTGATTAAGTTTAAATACTGCTGAATTCATGTTTTTTATTAGTATATTGAACTAATTAATGGATATACAAGTCAACATGTGATCCATGTATATCATGATCAGATATTCATACTATTAAACAATAATGAAATTTGTTTAAGTGTCATATAATACTCTATTAGAAGAAGAAGAAAAAACATACATTACATGGTTAATTAAGTTCAATTGAAAGTTTTTGGTGTCATCTTAAATGATGAATTTGATATTTGTATGATTCCATAATATAGGTAACTGTTCACTGAGGTGAGAAAAATAATAGAGGGTCATTATAGGTCTTTTATCCACTTGTGAATATGTATATATATGGTTTGGACAGGATTCTGTTATGTAGTCAGACCATACATTAGTATAAAACAAGATACATGAAGTTACAGTTTCCTCAAAAGTGGAGTATACTTTCTTAATTACAATCATGTTCATGAATTACTAATTTCTAGCTTGTCTGTTTCAAAGCTATTACATTCTATGCCAGATTGCTATGTCAGCGCACAAATGCTTTATTCAAATATTTTAAAATGTATCAACACGAAACTTGAAAGACTTGCTTATCAGGACAAGGTGTAATTGTTAAACAGGGGAGCAAAAGTTATACCCCTTTCAAACTAAGAATTTTTAACAGACAAGTGTTATCATTGCATGCAATGCTGCTGTATTTGTTGTTAATAACAAGGGCTGATTCGTGTCATTTTCTTTTATCTTGGTGAAGACTGAAAATATACAATTCTTATGTAGAATATTTTTGGCTAAAATGAAAAGGAATTTCACAATTGTTATTTTCTAAATCTTAAGCAAGTTATGGTTTAATCTTCAGGTAGCATTAAAGAAAGCCAATACAATCCTTTTGGAATAGAATTGAGACACAGCAATTCATTTCTGGTTTAGTTGTAAAACTGCCACAAACTATTAACTAGTCATGGTAAGTGAACAGTTATTATATATTTGATTTTGTTTGAATTTTGATATTTTTATATGATTATTCTGTTGCTCAATAATATTTAGATAAAATTCTAGATAGCAATACATAATTGTCATTTGTTGCAAGAAAATTAATGCATGCAAGATGTTTTGATGCATAATGTGGAATACTTCATAGGTTTATGGTAAGCATTTTATATGTAAAATAAATGTGAAATAATCAACACTTTCCTGTTAAAAGTTTTAAAATAAAATGCCTTTATATACATTTTATTTACGTAGAACTAATTAAAGTGAATTATACAATATGTTTAATATAATCTATTTTGGTATATTTGTAAATTTATGATGCTTCAAATAAATATAATCATATAGAGTTTATTGCTTCAAATTTGTTCTTTAGTAAATAAAATGCATCTACTTAGTTGTATAATTTTTACAGATTGGAGACGTATGACAGAAATTTAGACTTAAAGGGAGAAGTCATTCTGCTACCGGGCCATTAGCTCAGTTTTACATACTTTATTACATGTATAAAGGCAAGATGTACTTGTATGTGCATTAAAACGTGACATAATCATGATAATGTGTGTCTGAAATAATAAAATCTTCACATTATATATCTGTCTTTATTGTTAATGAGTATCAACTACGTATTGTATGATTCATGATATTCCATTCTAGTATGTCAAATCACTTTAATATTTTCTACAATCAAGCCAGTTTGTCAACAATTTAGAATCATGAAATATGTGACCCCTGTTTAATTATAGCTGCAGGAAGTTCTGATTTCAGAATTTTCAATTGCTTTGCAAATCCTATTACCCATTCCACATGTATCAGTTTTGATGCTATGCACCTGTCTCTGACTACAGGCAACAAGAAAATTACTATTACTATATAAAATATATATTATATAGTAAACGGGTGCTGGATAGTAATTTTGTTCTTGATAATCAAGGGGTGATTATTATTATTAATTATTATGACAATTTGATCATTTTTGCATGGCAAATGTGTGTGATCATAATTTCATTTTCTTTACTACTACTGTTCTTTAATATTTTGTCTTGTGGAAAATGAAACGCTCCAAACCCATTACAAAGTGGAACACAACAGTAATTTACCATTTCTAAGACTGCAGTGTTAATCAGTTTATTTTGAAATATAAACTTTAGCTTATTAATTAGATGAGTTGATTACATACTCTGCATTTTCCCATTGAAATTCAATGTAAACCAGCTATACACAGAGATAGCCAACATACAGGTGTATACCTCTTATTTGTCAGGGGCGCTGCAGAGATAACTCCTGCTGGATTATCCAGAAACTCTCCCAATGCCGATTTCAAATAACCACAGCAACCAGCATTTGTAATTTTATCAGAATGTTTATCTTCTTGTTTACAATACAGTGCAGTAACTCAGACTTTGTTCTTTTCCCAATTGTTTCGTAACGCGTAGTAGACAAAAACTAAAGATTGCAAAAGCATTAAATTTGAAAATTAACGACTCAACTCTTGTCAATGTAGAATCACAAAAACTGCTTAGTATTTATGTTGAAAGTACACGCAATTGGCACTGTCAGGTAAATGATGTGTGTAAAAAATTGAACTCTAAAGTTAATTTTTTTAGGCGTATAAAGTTCTTTTTAAATAAGGAATCTCTCATGCTTTTTTATAATGCATACCTTCTTCCTATTTTTGATTATTGTTGTAATATATGGGGGAAAGAAAGCAAAAAAATATATGCCAAATATACAAAATACAACACGAATTTGCAAAATTATTCTAGACCTTCTAATGAGAAAAAAATTTATACAAAAGATGAAAAATATTGCCTTTCAAGAAAAGAAGTATTTTTCACACCGGTGTCCAAGTATATAAAGCACTGAATAATATGTCCCCTCAATATATTCGAGACTTACTTACCATATCAAATAATCAAAAGTATAATGTAAGATCGATATCTCACGGAAATTTAATTTCGTCTTACAAACCACGTACTAATTATTTTAATGACATATTCCAAATTTAATGCCATTGTTATTTGGAATTCCATACCACTGACTATAAGAAGAAAAACAAAATTGTCAATATTTAAGAATAGTTTCAAGAAATACTTATTTAATCAACTTTAGCACGGTCCGTGTGTATTATATATACAAGATACGCTCTTTATATTCATACATGTGTTTTTATTATTATGTTTTCTAACAATGGGTGTCTCTCTTAGTTTCAAGTTTTTGACTGTGTAAATTTTGTAAGTTATTTTCACTTTTTAAATTGCAGATTGAAATGATGCACTGATGAAAGTATTATGTTTAATGATAAATAAAATGAATTGTATGAATGTTGAGGATATGTGTTAAGATATATGTTAAAATTGTGATAACCATTTAATCATTTCTTTTACATGTTATATTTTCTTTGAGTGATATGCGTTCTTTTGAGTGTGTGTTTTTGTGTTTTATTTTTTTTTTATTTTGGAAGGCCGCATTGTAAATAAGATGTTGCAATCTGTATATGTCTTTATGTGTTACCTTCGGTAAATAAAGTTATTATTATGATTATTATTATTATTATTATTATCATTATGATGGTACGTGAAAGAATGAGCGCTAAACTTTTTGTACTTAAGTTAAAAAGACCTTCTTTACGTGAAAGACTTGTCGGTAATACGGAATATGTTCTCTGACAGTCTCTTACAGGGAAGATAGAACCTCATTTATTTATTTATTTTTTTTTTTTATTTATTTATTATTTTTATTTTCTTTTTTTTGTCAACGTCTACCAACCGGTCGTTGTTTTGGAAATTTAAAAGAAACCAAGATACTCAAGACGCACGACATTGGATGACATACATATCAGCCCTACTTAATCACGAGATTGAAATGTAATCAGGTAAGGACGTTAATTGCTTTACAGTACGTGTCGTGTCCGAAATGAATATCGTACCGGGTATTTTGAATTTTCAAATTTTTATTGCGAATGCAAATTGCAGGTTTACTTAGAACTAAGACGATTTGTTTGTCTTTTATGTATAAGCGCTTTAGTGATATATATATATAAAAAAACGTTGCACCGATCTTGATGATAAAAGACTGTTACACGCTTCCATAAGAATAAAAGAAACTATTGCAGCTGCAAGAATTTATATTTATTCTGTGTGCACTCGTATTTTGTACTGTTTATCATCTGAAAATCATTACCTTTTTATCATATCATATTCCGCCATGTACGTTTTCTTTGAAACATTCTCAATAAAATGTGTGAAAATTTTCCAGGAATTGTAACTGAAAATGTTAACCAAGACTCTATCGAGTACTGTATACGTTTTACAAAGTTTGCTTATATAACTTCAAGAGGCACTCCAAGGGATTACAATTTATAGCATAGGCGTAATAAATGCTCTATATACTCTATAATACGAGTACGTAAAGCTTTACAAAATCTTAAAGTCCCTCATGCGATGATATATCTCTATTACATGATTGCGCACGGTGTAAAGCAGTCTAGGTAAAACAAAGATTTGTTTTTGTTTTTCTTGGAAATAGTGCTGCAAATATAGGTCAAGGTAATTTGATTTGTATAAAATGACTGCATTTCGGTGTATTTCGCAGTTTCGTATATGAAGCATTTTGGTTATCATGAATGGATTTATGAATTTCCAGTTTCACAACACAGGAAAGTTAAAAGTAAAAGAATACTAGATCGCTTTCTAGATACATATTCACACTTTTATTTCAAGCAAATAAAATTAACATGGAAAACAAGTTTTTGGTTTTATTTTTGTGTGTAGCTATTGCATGTTTTTGTTCAGCTGAATTCTCGGCTGATACGGTTTATGAAATTCTTACCAGTAAAATGGATATACTTTTCTTTAATATAAAGAATATGAAAAGTGACATTGATGAAATTAATGAAAAAGCAAGAAAAACAGGACGTGAACAATGTAAAGAGACGTGTTTGGAAGTAAAGCAAATGTTTGAGTCATACAAGGTAGAAATGAATGAGAAATTTACAAGTCTTGAAGAGAAAGTAACGGAAAGGGTAGATGAACTGGTTCAAGAAGTGCTTGTGTCGTTAACTGGCACAATAAACGGAAAACTCTCTGAGGCAGATAATGAAAGAAGCAAGGAAAGTAAACGACTAAAAACAAATATGCGCAGATTTGTGTCATCAGAAAAACGGGCATTAAGAATTTTAAATAACAATCTTGAAAATGATATCCGTAAGAATATAAAAAATATTTCAGAAAAGTCCGAGATTCGAATTCAAAATGCAGAACAAAGTGTTGCACTGTTCACAAAAAATTCTGCAATTCGAATGAAAGAGGTTGAAAACAAAATGTTCGCTTTCGAAAACGGTGAGTTAACTATGTACTATTTCAATTTAATGTATTGTCTTACGTTATATAAATTAATACTCATAATAATGATATTCAAAAAATAATTTTGGTATTTACAATATTGCCTGCAATCACATATGTGTACAAATAAGAAACAAGAAACATTTACGCATTTTAATTCTGAAATTCGAATGTAAGAGACTGAAAACAAAATTTTCACTTCCCTAAACGGTGAGTAAATTCGTGTGTGTTTACATACATATTGCAAATAAATACACTTCTTAATTAAAAAGAAACAAAAATTTGTACATATATATAATAAGCAGAAATCATTTAAATTGACAAACGAATGCAGTCATCAGATTTATTTAAAATTTAATTATAATGATAATTATTATTATTATTTATCTTTTTATATGTTTCTTAAATTGCATGAAGGGACTGGGAATCTTTTATAAGTAGATGTAAATCATTCAAAACTTGCATTGTTTTGAACATTAAAGTTCTTTTATTATAATAATATTTTTTTAGATATCATGTTTCTCTAAATACATAAGATTCATTTTCGAGAACACAAGGACATCTTAAATATTAGTATAAGACATCCTTGTATAGATTTAAAGACTTTTATTTTCTTTTTCGCTTTGTTTAAAGCAAAATAGATCATTTAATATCTTAGAAGTGTTATGAGACCTATAGTATAAAGAACATAAAAATGGGATGAAGCCATCGCAGAGTTTCAATATCATTTCCGCATCAAAAGAAACTATAACTTCATCTCTGCAGAAACTTAACCTCTTTAACTTTAGCCTGTAAAATAAACTATGACCTTATTATTATATATTATTATCTACGCGTTTCGATATCTACAATGAGCAACAACCCAGAAGCTTTACTGCCAATAAAGATAAAAAAAATTGCTTTTTCTAACATACAAATACAATAATTATATTTGCTTATCTAATAATAAATAGATATTTGCTAGTTTATGGCAAAACAAATTTTCTAACACTTACAACGGTGAAAGGGTTTTGTGGGTGGTCAGGACAAAACGATGCGAAATTCTCGAGTGGCGTATCTATCTGCCTTTCAATAACATGTGCGCTTTAAGGTCAGTGAGCACGAAAAATGTTCGTGTTAAACTATGACAAGTATGGGTAAGAGTTCGTATTAAGACGACCGTAGGGAGTCTTATCGGACTCTTACCCATATAACTGCAAATCGGCTCTTACAACTCGATATCAGATAAAAATATAGAAAGTGTCACCTCTTTAATTAAGCATAACATTATTTTTCCCCAGCAGTCACGTACAAACAAGGATGGGGTCCAATTACTTAATCTGGCATGTAAAACAATGAGTTTTCAACAATACCTAGTATTTTTGATGCAATTCATTCCTGTCATATGAAACAAAATAATGTTTTGCTTACTTTTTCTAGAAAATATAAAACAGTCAGCAATTAATAATTGACATTTTTCATAGAGTTTAAAGGATATCAAAAAGTTACTGTGTTCACATTTGTCTCTGCGAGCTGAGCTCCACGTGCATTATCTATGTAATAAATTTGAATGTATCCTCACATTGCTACAGTGTTATCAGCCTTTTTAGAAACACCTGACCTGGCTAATTAGAATATGCCAATCACAATTTTCAATATCAGCACTGGTTTCTTCATGAAATAGCGGCTACACTAATTACTGCCGAGTAAGAGCCGATTTGCAGTTATTTTAATTTAAGCATACAACTATAACTCTTAAACAACAATAAATATATACGTGCATCTATAATTAAAAAAAAAAGTTAACCAGAAATAATTCTAAACATTTTTTATTGGTTTACAAAATATAATTTATCTGTGTAGTGTGTTTCTGTTATACATTTACTATAAAAATCACTTTATTCACAGGTACATCCTATAAAACAACATTTTAAAGAAAATAAACATTTCTATCATTTCAGCTGTTTTGAAGTATGATAAAAGTTTGATTTTTTTTACTTTTAATTTTCTTCTATCTAACATTTTAAACTACCTTCAACATTCATAAGGCCTAAAAAAATGTTTCTTTCCGGTGTCCCTACCTACCCTTTTTTTGGCCACCGACTCTAAACTTTTTGAGGGAAAACAGGCCACATTTTTTGTTTGACGCTGCATAATAAACTTTGTGCCGCATATTCATATTTCCATCGCATACACTTGATATAAAAAATATTTAAAAAAAAATGCCTACGTACCCTATTTTTTAAAACGATGTCACTGGAAACAAACATTTTTTGTTAGGCCTAAGCGTAGTTGTTCAATGTGTTTTACATCAACGTGGGGAGCTTTAACTAAGTCAGATAATATAATCTTTGTAACACGTTTCTAAAATGCATTCACTGTTTTAATTCATTTTAATTACAATTACTCCATGGTATTAAAAACACTAATCGGAAAAAGATAAACTATATCGTTGTTAAACCTTTCTACCATTTAAGATGTTTAAAAGTACGATAAAAGTAGGATATAAGTTTTAAGAGGACAATTTTGTTTTAATATTCCTTCTATCTTAAACATTTTAAATTTCTTAAAAATTCTTTGGCTTAACTCTTCTTCTTTGTTCTTTTACAGCATCATGGAAAGGGGAACGTGGTGATATCGGTCCGACTGGTCCGAAGGGTGAACGAGGTATAAAAGGCGAACAGGGTTACGCTGGTGTTAAAGGAATTAAAGGCGAGATAGGTGTAGGAATCATAGGTCAAAAGGGAGAAAGGGTAAGTGATAGTTACTGGTCAACATTTTATGTGTTTTGAATAATGACACTGTCTTCAAGTGGTCAAATTTATAGGACAACAATAAAGGTGATAGAGCTTAAATGTTTTCTGATTTAATATCATTGGTGTTGATCAATGTATGTATTATCCATTGCACTGTCATATAAATGACCATTTTGTTGATTTGTATTTTTTCATTTTGTTGTATAAGATTCAAATCCATCCTTCCTTTCTTAATTCATTCTTCATTATTTTTCTTTTTGAACGATATTTTTGTTGCACATACAAAGTAGAGGTCATATGGCGACTTTTCAGGTTACTCGTGGCAGACCTTAGGTTTCCCTCGATGTATTATTTCAGACACAAATGGGTAAAATAACCGACGTTCTGAAAGCTAGTTCAATAGCTTCCACACATGATAGAATCCAAATTCGATGTCGGGATTTGAACCGAGGGCCACGAGGGGCAATTGGTTTGAAGTAAACGACCTTAATAAAACGGCCATACATTCATACTTTCACTCACTCACTCACTCACTCATCAACTCACTCACTCACCAACTCACTCACTCACTCATTCACTCACTCACTTCAGCACACTCATTAATTCTTATAAGAATATATCGACAGTCTATGTCTGATTATATATTGACTTTTCTGTTTAAAACGGTTTTTATTATAACATAGAAAAATAATGAATTATTTTTACTAGAAAGTCATAATTTACCCAATATAATCAAATAAATGATATTTATTATTTTGAATGTCCGCGTAATTGCCAATACGATGTATAATGTAATTAAAGACAGTTGCATTTACGTACATTTGGACTTAATGATATCTCATTGTTTTACTCAAGGCAAAAACGGTCAGGATGAAAAAATACAATTTGATAGCATTATGTTTAAAGCTATAGAGAATGCAATCGCCAGTGGCGGATTCAGGCCCGGGCTTCAGGGCTGCAGCCAGCCCAAAGATACGTTTACCAGCTGGACTGGATTATATTTTTGGCAGTTTTAAACTTTAATGGCTGTTGTGTACTCCCTTATCAAAACAGTGATTGCTGTCATCCAGTTGTTAATCTTCTGCTTGGGGGCTTGGCAGAGATCTTTATCTATCAACATGCTTCAATGACTTCAATGTTTAAACTTCTTAATTGATTGGTTTTAAAATGTGGTAGCTCTGTAAAATTAAATAGACTTGCAATTTTCTGTATTAAAGCTTTTAAGCAAAGGCAAAATAACCTTAATTATTTGTATTAGTAAACGTACATTTTATGTGCAAATATCTATAGTATAAACGAATATGTTAAAGTAAATGATTATACACCTAAATATGTATGCTGATATTCTCTGTTTTGGTACTGCATTTGTACACATGTATATATGATGTGTAAAGTAAATGATTGATAATATTATATTCACTCTCGCTATATTACATGCATGTACTTGTATATGTGAATGACGATGAACCGATGTGTTCAAGTCAATTTTGTTGAAAAAACTTCTGTTCTGTTCTGTTCTGTTCTGTTTATTACTTTGAAAGGGTCTAATAAAATTTATAGTCACAGTTAGTGGCAAATAGATGTGTTGTATTGTACATCATATTTTACTATATTTGTTTTTCCATTTCCTATAATTAAGAAAATAAAAAAAATTGAAAATTATTATTTGTAAATTAAAAAGATGGCAAGTTTTTTTTAAAGATAATAATAGATGAAATCGCGTTTTAATAACGTGTTTTACTAAGATTTTTATTAAGATGAAATAATTGGTTATATGCTTTTAATAATTTTTTGTGGCAGTTATATTTTCAAATAAATTTAAATTGTCCTGACCTCTTTAGTATCTAAAATGGATTCATTGATGGAAAAAATTCTAATTTGAATACTAGTGTTTGAAATTATTTTTGTTTGTACATTAGGAAGGTAGTATTTTAATACCACTTTACTTTGGAAAATCGTCTATTATTCACATGAGTAAATTGATCAAGTGTTTGAATTTATTTTTATCAACAGTTGTGCATACATTTATTAGTGTGCTGTTATTTAGTAAATACTCACTACTAAACACCAGGGGGAATTCTATTTGAAAGACCCTAGCCTGTAAACACTAACCTATACAAAATGCAGTGTTTTGTAAAACCATCCAAAGGTACCATAAACAACACTAGAAAGTCAAGGAAATAACACCATTTTCAACCTCATATTTCAAAATTTTCTCGGTCTATGGGAGGAGACACCCCTCTCAGGCCCACCCTAATTACATATATAGTTTTCTTAATTTCGTATCAACCAAATATTTACAAGAACATTAGTATACACATGTTTAAGCAAAGTACATTGCCGATCATAAGATGAGCTATTAACACATCAATTACATTTTTTGTTAAATGAACAAGATGCTGGCCCAATCTTCAATTTTCGCCCGTTGCATTTTTTTGTCAATTTCTCCCACCTATATGTCAGCCCCCCCCCCCAGGAAATCATGTTCTGTATCCGCCCCTGATCACAGTTTTGAAGTGTAATACATAATTGAAACACTTTTGAATTTCTACATTTTCTGATCACTGGTAAATTAAAAATATCATTATAAGGATTCGACTTGTTATAAATACGAATAACCTTTTTTTTATTGAATAGGGATATCCTGGGCAAGCCGAGTCACGTAAGTATAAAACGATTTCATATTCAAGACTTCAAGAGTCTTTTTCAAGAATTTGGCTGCTTAAGATAACTTATTAAGACACAATTATATGTTTGTCAATTAATTCTACATCGATTTATTTTATATTTTTGGAAATCATTTTCACATCTTCTCCGTTCACCTATTGGAAGATGCCTTTAATAAATTTCATATAAACAGAGATAGGGATATTTCATTAATAAATTGTGTTTCATAATGACTCTAGATCTTATTTTGGTGCAGAGACAACCAAAATGAGTTTATAAGCATAAAAATCTGCAAACTCATTAAATTGTGGCGAAATCGGAAGTACAAATTCTGTTTGCATGCCTTCGTACACAATTCGAATTCGCTATTCCTTTCATTATCTGTTTACATCAATATTAACATACAGGGGTGTCGGTAATTCTTATATAAAAGGATGCTATTTATAGCCTAAATCTTTGATCACCTGAACAATTACTCATATGTTATCAGTTCAGCGTAGTGGTTGGGTGTGGTTCGATTCCTGGAAAAAACATTTTTTTCTTTTATTATAGTTTTGTTGTTTTTAGATATTTTTAGTTGCTCGTGATTTTTTTTTCACACAATACTATTAGAGAACATTTAGTTTTACACACATTCGCTTTTAGCATGTTAAGTTAGAAACAACATAGTACGTCGTAATTGGAGTGATAACTGAGGAATGGAAGAAAATTAAATTACAAAAAAAATGTATATAAATATACAAATGAGCCGAAATTGTCAAAAATGTCGCAAATTAAATTCAGAGTTTTAAATATAATTAAATTGACATTACTATTCAGTCTGTTCAATGACTGTTAAATTCAAGTATATTCAATATTTCTAAACCGTTATATGTTTAACTTTAAATTGTACAAAATATGAAATAAATCACAACGTAAAAACCATACAGACACAACAAATATTGCATAATTGCAGATTTGAACTCGAAAAATAAATGATTTTCTTAAACATTAACTTTTTAAAATCTGAACTCTCTAACCACTACGCTTCTCGGATTTGCGTGCCGATAACCACTTTTATTTACTATATTAGAATAAAAATGCAAAATGTAATAACTGAATAACTTGCACAACCTATCATAATGGTACGACCGATTAATGTTAACGTTATCGTGTTCGACAATAAATCAACAAACATGGCTGGTTTTAAGTAGCAGTCTTGATTTAACAGTATATTTCAGTTTTGTAACGGATGTTTTCATACAAATAAAATATTTTTATGTGATGATTACTTTTCTGAACGCCAGGCCTAATGTACCATGAAGCTAAAACGGTTAAAGTGTGTTTGCACTTATATTTCATGTGTTCCGGATACCAACTATTACGCTGTGACATCGCATACACGAACTGATTATAGTCTTCATTTGCATGTTAAAATTCGTGCACGAACTTTAGTGTTACCATGGTGTTTTCCGTTTAAAATCGTCATTTATGAACAATATTTGATGAGATTTACAACAATATTGTTACAAATGTTAATGAAACTGGAGAATGCTTGGTTTTTAGGCCGACGGCAAAATATTTTTACATATTAATTTAATGCATCTTTAAAGTTTGCATCTAAAAGCTTTCCAATATTCTATTTTCAACGGATGTGCACGGTATGTGATGTTTTAATATACTTCATGTGATGACTTATACATTACAGGTCATTCAGTGTACTTTGCCGTTACTGTAGGAACCGGATCAACGACACTCACTGAAAACACTATTGTAAAATTTGAAACGTTCTATTCAAACCAAGGTGACGGATACAATACATCAACTGGAAAATTTACGGCACCATACAGCGGTGTTTATCTTTTTCTTTTCTTCGTTAGGCCGGGAACCAATGAAAATGACATTGCATATTTCAAACTTTATATCGATGGTAGATTTATGGCATACACATTGCAAGAAAGTTTACAAAATTATAACAATAATATGGGTGGACAAGCCTATGTGGAGCATATGAATAAAGGTGAGACAGCATGGATACAAACGGGAGAAATAAAGGGTCGAGATTATCATACTATTAAAACATATGGAACAACATTCACAGGAGTCCTTATTAACTGAATAGATAATTTTCTGTTCCATTTGTTCACTGATTGAAGAATAGTTGACAGTACAATCAGTATACAAACCACCTGGACAGTCACCAACATCGAACAAATCTCAGCCTTAGAACCGACCTGTCAGCCTATAAACTTGTAACAGACCGAAGTCAGAGGATATTCCAAGTGTTGAGTTCTATTCTTGACATAATAAAGGAAGCTTCGTTGAGCTATAATGGAAACAAACAACTATAAGAAATTATGTTGAAAATTTTGATTGATTTATGTCATTAAAAAGCAACACTGTTTGGCAAATCGTAGAAGCCCTTGGAAAAATATTATGTCAGATATCATTTTATTATTTTAGTTAAAAGGCTGCTCCGCATTTGTGGAACGGATTTTTATGTTATTAACGGCTCTTTAGTGGGCTCTTCATTTGTATATTTGGCGCTCGCAATGAATACACTTTTTCAACAAAGAACAGTCGTAAACATCTATATTAAAACTTTGAATAGCCGAATCAAATTATTGGCACATTATGCCTCAGAAATCAATATTTTTTAATTCTTTAGTAATAGGAAACATTTTGTTATATATTTTAAATATCGGATAAAGGGGATGTTAGATGTTTTTATAACTGAAAAAGTAGCGCTGAACATTCAGTTATGTGTGGTAAAGATAGCAAAATGTTAACAAAGTATTATTTTGACTTCCATCACTTTAATTATGCCAATTGTCAACATAACTATAGACGCAAAATATAGTCCATGTTTATAGCAAATGAGTATATTTTTGGAGCTATAATAAGATACCAACAATAGAAAGGTTTTGAGATAAAAATGATAGCATAATCTGAGGCATAATAGGTCTTTAAATTGATTTACATGTTTACTGTTTACATAAGTCTTTGGCCATGATGTTATTTAAAACTATGTATGCAATGAAACTATCACACTCATCACCAAAAAGCAGTTTTATTTACATTTGTAGCGTAACTGTTTACACAAGCCTGTCATGTTGTATAAAGTATATATATTGCAATAAAATCATCATCATTCTTATGTATATCTACATAAACAACATCGCCGTTGATGTTGTCGTCGTCTTGATTTACCTCAACATCCTTGCCTGATTAAATTATTGTGTAAAAAAGATATTCTGGTTATGAATTTTGATAATATCAACTTGATATTATTTCAGTGGTTCTATTAATAGTTTGGATTAGTACCAAAACTGATATCCGAGTCTCTAATTTTTCAGCTTTACTGGTGGAACGAGGCAATAGTTGCCCTTTTGTGCTTTATTTCAGGCACAAGTGGACACCTAAGTAGAACTGTGTATTGGTATTATTGTTTTGCCTCATTCTATCGTGTATAATACGAAATGTGTGGAAATAGAAAAAAAGAATCTTATTCTCATTTCTAATTATATTGATCTAAATATTTTAAGGTTATACGTCGAAGTGGTATTTTTCCGTGTTTTGTTTTTTTCTTCGACGAACGCGCCTTCAGGCTCGTATGGAGCTATGCAATGACTACAGACAACCGAGAATGTAGACGGTCTCGACCAAATAACTCCCAAACAAAAAGTACAAGATTAAATCATAAAAATCACACATTATGACGGAATATGTTGAAAGTGTTCATGTTCAACTTTATTTACAAAGGACGTTAGTTATCTGAATGATAAAATAAACTTCATGATTTACGACAAAGCATCGAATAAAGATAAAATATGACAAATCATCGTAATAATTGATACATTTTTCGAAGTAAAGCCAAACATGGCTTTTATGAATCAAAGCCATGAGTATAGAAAAAAGTAGAACGACATAGCGAACATAAAATCGGAGTAACAATTTTAAATATTATAAAGAATGCAAGTAAAAACATAAGAAAATAACTTTATATCGTTAATGTGCTAAAACATCTTGGATGATTGAAATCATTTCCAAAATAACGATTCCTATGCGTAGAAGCACTATTTTTATTAATAAGTTTATAGTTTATTATTTTCTGACATAGTTCATCGATTATCAGGCCAACAATCTGAACTGCGACATTTTCATGTTAGATATTTGCTAGATGATTGTGATTTAATTGATTGATTAAGCGAGACTTACGTGAGAGATGTTGCACTTATTCATTATCTTTCATGTACAGACTCAATCAAACCGAGTCTGCAATTCTTATGTAATTTTGTTGTGATTAATGCTTCCGAGGGATCACTTTGTTTCCAGAATTTTACCTTTGGAAAAGGGAAGGCGAAGGTTGATCATAATGTTATCCGACACAAAACTCCCTTAGGGCTCATACAGACTACGGACGCAGCTAGCAGCGATTAGGGTTTATTCATACTTTAAAGACATAATATCACAATATCGATAAGAAATTAAAAAGCACGGGATGGCTGTGGATGGATGTGTGAGCCCTAAGGGAGTTTTGTGTCGGATAAAATTATGATCAACCTTCGCCTTCCCTTTTCCAAAGGTAAGTCTCGCTTAATCAATCAATTTTATCCAACACATAAACTCCCTTATGGGCCCCACAGATTATTCAGAGTATATTTCTTGTCATATATTGTGAACAAAAAAATTAAACAATGCATAAATTTCTGAAATATATTGTTTCTCAATAGTAATATATTTTGACAATCCAAAAAATATAAAAACATGTTTAAATATGATAATAATTATAATGTTCATAAGTCTATTGGTTAATCCGCAAGGTAGCTCTCTAGAACATTGTTCTGAAATGTATTTGCCTCCCTGTTTATCAATGGCTTATTATAAAATTTTGCAAATACCGATACACTACTCCATCCTGCATATTTTATAATATCTGTCAATATTATTCCTTTTCGAAATGCACAGGAAGACGAGGCAGCTCTAGTACTATGAGGTTTAAATTGATTTGGAATGCCTGCTCTAAGCATTGTCAATTTTATCCACCGTGACAGAGTTTGTTTTGAAACCGATTTTTAAGGTGGAATCGTAGATATCAATAATCTCTCACTATTTCTCAACGTTTTTGTACGTTCTATGTATTGTCTGATAGATTCAACGATGCATAATTTTTTATTTTTGTACATTTGAAGTTTCATAGGTTCAATATGTACACCTGGTCGTGTTTGTTTTATAAGCTGAGAAACGTTGATAACAACACAGTTTTCAGTGAAGCAAATAATCACTTAACTTACATGTAGAGTTTGAGAGCGTTGAGCAGTTACCAATAAAAATAACATACACAATTTACAGGTTAAAGCCATTTATCGAATAACTGTACAGTATCTCGGACATTTTCTAAACACGAACGATACGTATCTGCATGTAGCCATGAGTCATCAATACAATATGTGCTCGCGTGACCAATTGACCTCAGATAAGAGAAAACTGGTTTATATTCTAGGGGAGCACGAATAACTCATTACTAATGCGGAGAATTGGTACTTAACGTCATTAAATAGACACAGGAAATATTTTCGATCAGTTTCTTTGATTTTTATAGAGTAGTAAGCATCTGCAATATCAATTGAAGCCATAACCCCATTTTTTCTAATGATTGTCAATGCTGATTCCATTTTAAAATGACTTTTTTCTATAAATTGCTCCTTGAACTTTTTTAGATTAAGTATTATTCGAATGCGACCGTCTTTCTTAGGACGTGTAAAAATATTTGATATAAATTCATCAGGTTCGGAAAAGGGTACTTTCTCAATGATACCATTTTCTAACAATTTATTTATTAACGTTTGTATTTTCGCATTCTCGTCTGCTGTAAAAGAAAAATGGAATAGGAATATGTTGTTGCCTAGGTATCTGTGACACTTCAATTGTACAGCTTTTAACTGTGTTTAAAATCCATTGTCTGATGTTATAGTTTCCCACATTGATATTTTATCCGCCGTTTTCCCCGATTTAAATTTTTCTACGGTGTTTTCCAGTGCTAAAATAATTCCACTTACATTTATGACTTTTTGTCCTTGTTCATTGATCGTTGGTTTCGAAATTTTAAAATTAAGTGTGTACTGTGTAGAAGAATGTACTATGTTAAATCATACGGCCGAGTTACTTTCCTTCGGAGATTTGCTACATTACACAAATTGTCAACAACAAAAATCAAAGGGCTGCAAGCTCTGTGGTATTTTCTGATCTTTGCAATCTAAATCATACTGACTATCTGTATGTATTTTCCAGTATAAGTTTATTTTTATATATATACTATAATTCATCTTACGCAGCGACTGCGTTTAGATTTTTTTCTGTAACAGTTTGAGATTGATACATATGGAATTTTGCATGACTAGAGTTGCATCAAAAATCATTTTTCATTTTTTATGACAGCCACACTCTATCCTTGCATATCGTGGCTACTTCCTTAAAAAAGACACTTCAAAAAAAAAAGTTGCCTCGACTAGGATTTGAACCTTAGGCCTATCACATTCTAAACGAGCGCGCTACCTCTGCACCACGGTGAAGTAATACGTATATACCTTGAATAAAACAAATACATTGTAATTCTAAATTGAGATTTGTAATCCTTATTAATTTCGAGGTATTTTATTCACGATAAACCTATTGTTTAACACTGATGAAAATAATTTAGCGAAAATCTTCTCGCCAAAACAGTCCGACATGTATAATATTCCACTACTCGACAGTCAGATTTATTTGTGTACTACGCTCTGGAGTATTCGGTAATCGACATAGCTAAAAATAGCATTTTCATTGATTTAAATGATATTCATCCGCGAAATTTGTGATTGTAACCTCATATTTCTATTGACTAATCTAAACTTTTAATGCACTGTAATTCGTTAAATGCCTACATTAAAAATTATTCTTTCTTTTAAATTGCTGGTTTTAAGCAGTTTTGAGTGAGAATTACTTTGCGTTGTTAGGTCTGTTAGGAAATTTTGTGTTAGACCGTGGATGTTAGCTTTGTATTTACTGATCTTGCGATCAGAAAATACAAAAACTGCAATGGAGCAATGGATCCGGACTGGTAGACGAAACAGTCTTAGTTCATGGTTTTACGGGCGGCATGATTAACTAGCTCAAACAACTTTATAACACATATATATATAACATTATTCAGCACACGAAAACAATCGAGTGACCACACACCTTTAAACTATAACAAATACCACCTGTACAACAGCATTGAAACCGAGTATTATTTATTTTTATCACTTCAAACCGATTGAATAATATTTAAGAAACCATTATTAACGAACGAAAAACTCGGCATTTGTTTTTTTCGGCACATGAATTAAGCTTTTGTGAACATATTGAAGGCATTTACTTTAATCTTATTACATGAATACATAATCATTCTAATTTTCATGAAAATTATAAAAATGTATTTTAAAGTAAAATATTGTGAATAAAACAGAGTAATAGTTTACTTATTGCACACAACACTCGTATCCACTGAAATACAACAAAATCAGGTCTTTATCTCACATATTAACATGTATGTTGTATTATGTTTTCTTATACATGTATTTCTTTACTTTTCTTAAAATTTATAAAACTTTTTTCTCAAGTTTAATTTTCGTCATCAACCGGTAAAGGTTTTTATTCTGTTTTTAACCCTGGCGGCCAGGGTAAACAATGAATAAACTGTTTAACATTTAGTACTTTATATAACAATAACGGGGATTCATAGAGCCGTTTGATATATGTAAATTACTTTTAGTTTCAAAATTTTCAGGAAAATTAGCTTTAATCTGCAGGTATTCTGCTTTAAACTAGGGAATCGACAGCCTTTTGTATAACTATACAGTTTGCAATCATGTTCATCTTAATATATGTAGTTGTAAAGTTCATAGTTATGTACGAATAAATTATTTATTTTAGGCTGATAAAGTCAATTAAAGTAATATTATTTTTGGTAAAGTCGGGTATTACAACACATAATAACACAAGCACTGAA